TTTAATATGTTGAATTGCGTGCATTTGTGAGGTTGACTGACTTGTGCTTTTTCTACAAGACAAGGCGACTCCAAAGTCAAGGATCATCCCATCTATTTCCAATCTTTTTATATTGTGCCTCCTCCGCACACAAAAAGCAATTCTTCACCAATTTCTCTTTGCCCAACGACAAACAGAGAAATGATTGATGCGCTCAGCTCTCCGTTGGAGAAACTTCCCAAATGAATATGCATAGCCGTTAGAAAAAAAATCATTATCTTCGAGTGATTTGATCGCCTATACAATCAAATCTTAGTTTCCATAAGTATAGTTCTTTGTGTTTAAGGAACAATCTTGTGATTATCAAATAAAATATCTTGAGCTATTGATTGTAGAATCAATTTGATTGACCTGCATAAACTTGCCAAAAATAATAATTATTGAATCTGACGATGAATTTTGAGTCTGATAACAAAGTACTTTCATCGATTAAGTCTGATGACTCAATAATTACCTGCATCAAATAACTTAAGTGTAATTGAGGTCAGAAAAAGATTGTTTTGTCATTCTTCAAAACTAATTAGGGATTTTCTTTAACATCACGGAAAATGAATGATTTAGAAAACATATTCTTAAAAACGATCCCTCTCGTATCGCTTATTAAAATGAATGAATTAAAAATATTTTCATCGTCCACGAAAATATTTATGTATAAATTATTATCGATAATAAAAATATTTTTTATTGACTAATTATTTTAAGTGATACAAGCTATTATGTTTAAAAAAACATTTTTTAATGTATTAATTTTTTTTGTTAAACAAGTGCATTTTAAGACGAAAGATTATGTATTAAAAGGAAATCATTTGGGAGATGGACTTGTTTGTTGATGGGATGTCGACCCAAAAAATAACGTCGATAGAGTGGAAGAAAAGTGGACATAGCGGAGAAAGTACGATCAAATGGGAATGATGATCTTTTGAATTATTGATGAGTGTAACTTTTCTAGATGCCCTGCATTTTTGCGTTGGCCAGCTGTGTACATGTCCCAATCAGTGCGCTGGACTCCTTTAATATGTTGAATTGCGTGCATTTGTGAGGTTGACTGACTTGTGCTTTTTCTACGGGACAAGGCGACTCCAAGTGGAGGATCATCCCATCTATTTCCAATCTTTTTATATTGTGCCTCCTCCGCACACAAAAAGCAATTCTTCACCAATTTCTCTTTGCCCAACGACAAACAGAGAAATGATTGATGCGCTCAGCTCTCCATTGGAGAAACTTCCCAAATGAATATGCATAGCCGTTAGAAAAAAAAACCATTATCTTCGAGTGATTTGATCGCCTATACAATCAAATCTTAGTTTCCATAAGTATAGTTCTTTTTGTTTAAGGAACAATCTTGTGATTATCAAATAAAATATCTTGAGCTATTGATTGTAGAATCAATTTGATTGACCTGCATAAACTTGCCAAAAATAATAATTATTGAATCTGACGATGAATTTTGAGTCTGATAACAAAGTACTTTCATCGATTAAGTCTGATGACTCAATAATTACCTGCATCAAATAACTTAAGTGTAATTGAGGTCAGAAAAAGATTGTTTTGTCATTCTTCAAAACTAATTAGGGATTTTCTTTAACATCACGGAAAATGAATGATTTAGAAAACATATTCTTAAAAACGATCCCTCTCGTATCGCTTATTAAAATGAATGAATTAAAAATATTTTCATCGTCCACGAAAATATTTATGTATAAATTATTATCGATAATAAAAATATTTTTTATTGACTAATTATTTTAAGTGATACAAGCTATTATGTTTAAAAAAACATTTTTTAATGTATTAATTTTTTTGTTAAACAAGTGCATTTTAAGACGAAAGATTATGTATTAAAAGGAAATCATTTGGGAGATGGACTTGTTTGTTGATGCGACGTCGACCCAAAAATCACGTCGATAGAGTGGAAGAAAAGTGGACATAGCGGAGAAAGTACGATCAAATGGGAATGATGATCTTTTGAATTATTGATGAGTGTAACTTTTCTAGATGCCCTGCATTTTTGCGTTGGCCAGCTGTGTACATGTCCCAATCAGTGCGCTGGACTCCTTTAATATGTTGAATTGCGTGCATTTGTGAGGTTGACTGACTTGTGCTTTTTCTACAAGACAAGGCGACTCCAAAGTCAAGGATTATCCCATCTATTTCCAATCTTTTTATATTGTGCCTCCTCCGCACACAAAAAGCAATTCTTCACCAATTTCTCTTTGCCCAACGACAAACAGAGAAATGATTGATGCGCTCAGCTCTCCATTGGAGAAACTTCCCAAATGAATATGCATAGCCGTTAGAAAAAAAACCATTATCTTCGAGTGATTTGATCGCCTATACAATCAAATCTTAGTTTCCATAAGTATAGTTCTTTTTGTTTAAGGAACAATCTTGTGATTATCAAATAAAATATCTTGAGATATTGATTATAGAATCAATTTGATTGACCTGCATAAACTTGCCAAAAATAATAATTATTGAATCTGACGATGAATTTTGAGTCTGATAACAAAGTACTTTCATCGATTAAGTCTGATGACTCAATAATTACCTGCATCAAATAACTTAAGTGTAATTGAGGTCAGAAAAAGATTGTTTTGTCATTCTTCAAAACTAATTAGGGATTTTCTTTAACATCACGGAAAATGAATGATTTAGAAAACATATTCTTAAAAACGATCTCTCTCGTATCGCTTATTAAAATGAATGAATTAAAAATATTTTCATCGTCCACGAAAATATTTATGTATAAATTATTATCGATAATAAAAATATTTTTTATTGACTAATTATTTTAAGTGATACAAGCTATTATGTTTAAAAAAACATTTTTTAAAGTATTAATTTTTTTGTTAAACAAGTGCATTTTAAGACGAAAGATTATGTATTAAAAGGAATTCATTTGGGAGATGGACCTGTTTGTTGATGGGATGTCGACCCAAAAAATAACGTCGATAGAGTGGAAGAAAAGTGGACATAACGGAGAAAGTATGATCAAATGGGAATGATGATCTTTTGAATTATTGATGGGTGTAACTTTTCTAGATGCCCTGCATTTTTGCGTTGGCCAGCTGTGTACATGTCCCAATCAGTGCGCTGGACTCCTTTAATATGTTGAATTGCGTGCATTTGTTGGGTTGACTGACTTGGACTTTTTCTACGGGACAAGGCGACTCCAAGTGGAGGATCATCCCATCTATTTCCAATCTTTTTATATTGTGCCTCCTCCGCACACAAAAAGCAATTCTTCACCAATTTCTCTTTGCCCAACGACAAACAGAGAAATGATTGATGCTCTCAGCTTCCCGACTACCTATCGAGTGTTTCTACTCATTCTTGTTCTATTGCAAGCACTGAGTATCACTGCAAAGTCGATTAATCGGTCGTGTGTCGCTTCATCTTGCGGTGATATTCGCAACATTAGGGATCCATTCAGATTGAAGAGTGATCTGAAAGGATGTGATGACCCAAAATTCGAACTGATTTGCGAAGGTAATCGTACTATTCTATACTTGAATGATAACAGATACTATGTGCGATCTATCGATTATTCGCTCCTTCAAATTAGATTGGTCGATGACGGGATACAAAAGAATAATTGCTCATCTCTCCCCCGTCACTCGTTGTTGCTGCCTAACTTCCGGGACGATATCGGTTCCTATTGGTTTAACCAAGATAGATATTTCGTACTAGACACTGCAAAAATCGGTACTGTAGTCATTGTGAACTGCTCAAAGCCGGTTAATTCTTCATTCTACATCTCTACCGGTCCATCATGCACTATGGGGCCGTATTCTTCCAACACATCATCGAGTTGGAACTTGTATGCTATAGTCAATCCAAAAGCATCGGATGTTAGGGATTTTTGCACCATTAGCGGTCGGACGTGGGTATCAAATTTTGACAGTTATGAGCAGATTAACAGTAGCTCCTACAACTACGAGCAAATCCATAACATCATGGCCGATGGATTTGTTATCGATGGTCCGAATTTTAAACGGAACAATGATTACTTTTGCACAGTTAGTATCTATAGCATCTACATGGGTCAGTATTGCGGACACGGCCCCTATAGTTTCCGCAACTGGACTTTCTTTTGCGTCTTTGATTTCTATAGCATCCTCAGAGGTCAGGTTTGCGGATACAAGTACAGCGACCACGGTAAGCATCGGTTGGCGATAAAATCTTACCGCATTTATGCATGATTGTGTACACTCTTTCACTTGCCACTTTCTCTTCAAAACTGGAATATGTAAGAAATATTTCAAATCCAAGAAAATAATGACAAAGTATACATGTTAGTATAGGTCAATATGTCTGTATTTGAAAGATTTTCGGAGCTTTGCGTTACATATTAAAATCAAATTGTAGGAGTTGCAAAATTTGCGAACAAAATAAAAAAATTGACAATAGAAGTCACCCCAAGTAGGCCCATCATCAACTGCACACATTCATGTGTATAGATTATAAATTCCTTTCCACAAAACGATGGAATTCCAGATGTGAAAAAAAAGGGTCATTGTTCGAGCAGCCACATGACTAGTTTTTTTGTTGGCATAGGGTTCAGATTTTTCTTATTTTCTTAATTAGTTCCTTAATTAGTCACTTGATTAATATTTCAAGTGACACTTGTGCTAGCAAATTCCTTAAAAAATTATGTACATGTATTGATAGGAAGAACAAAATAATCAATTAAAAATGGAAATCACCGTTTCTCTATAATTGTTGCTTGCTAAGTAATCAAAAGGAGTTTCTTGTGTTGTCTATCAACTATGTGAAACAAAGCTTATTATTTTCATTTATTTGCAAATGCACGCAACCCACTCCTAATTTTCTTTTGGGCAAACCTCAACTTGCAAAAGTAGCTAGCTACTACTCTGTTTCCTCGTGAGTTTTGTTTTTCGGACTTCTTTTCCTTCAATTTCCTTTCAAATCAGTCATTCCTTCCACAGGTCTCCTGGATGATATGACCGTTTGGATAACTGTGGATTTTATATCTCTACTAGGTAAGCCATAATGATTTGTTCTTAAAATAATTTAAAAAAATTATTCTAACCTCTTAGAATTTTCTTCAGTGTATTTCTGTGCAGCAAAATTCATAATCGGTATGCCATTTGTCGGGCTATTTCTTATCTACACTTACAGAAAAAGACACTTAGCGATGGACAAGAACATTGAAGAATTTTTGCAAGCTCAAAATAACTTTTTGCCCATAAGGTACTCTTACTCGAATATTAAGAAGATGACGAAAAATTCTAAGCACAAACTAGGAGAAGGAGGGTATGGTTCCGTGTACAAAGGAATGCTCCGAAGCGGCAATGAAGTGGCCATCAAGATTTTAAAGCAATCCAAGGCCCATGGGCAAGATTTTATCAGTGAAGTGGCTACTATTGGAAGAATTCACCATGTTAATGTAGTGCAACTCATTGGTTTTTGCTTTGAAGGCTCGAAACAAGCTCTTGTGTATGATCTCATGTCAAATGGATCTTTGGATAAGCACATTTTCACTAAGGAAGGTGAGAGGTTTCTTGATTACATGAAAATATATGAGATTGCTCTTGGGGTGGCGAGGGGGATTGAATATTTACATCAGGGGTGCGACATGCAAATACTACACTTCGATATCAAGCCTCACAATATTCTTTTAGATAAGAATTTCACTCCGAAAGTTTCCGATTTTGGACTCGCAAAACTTTATCCCACTGATCATAGCACAATCTCAATGACTGCTGCAAGAGGGACCTTAGGATATATGGCACCCGAGTTGTTCTACAGAAACATCGGTGGTATATCTTATAAAGCGGATGTTTATAGCTTTGGAATGTTGCTCATGGAAATGGCAGGTAGAAGGAAGAATATAAATGCAAATGCGGAACACTCAAGCCAAATTTATTTTCCGTTGTGGGTGTACGACCAAGTCAATGAAGAAAAAAGTGTTGAAACGGAAGTTGTAGCAGAGGAAAGGAAGGTTATCAAAAATATGATAATAGTTGCATTATGGTGTATACAATTAAACCCTGATCATCGGCCTTCAATGAGCAAAGTCTTAGAAATGCTCGAAAAAGATATTGGTGAACTCCAAATGCCTCCAAAGCCACTTATTTACCCACCTGATGTGCCAGTTAACAATGATGAAGCCGAGACGGAGTTAGAAACATTCTCAACTTTATCAAGCACTCCAATAATTTCTGCTAGATTTCCTTTTGGAGATACCAATGATGTTTAAAGAACCATGCATAGTTTGATTGGAAATGCTTTGTGTGTATTTGCTATTTGTTCCACAATGTAGTATTATGTTGGGAGGGACTTGAGATAGTTTAGCTCCACAGTGGTTACTTTTGAGATTGTCTTCTTCTAGCTCTTAGGTTAATGTTGTGTTATTGTATTTCATATAGTTTTACTCTCTTGCATCCTCCTTCGAAAAGATAAACACATTGGTAAGAGGGCAAGGATAAAAACGGTGATGGAAATTCAGAATTTTTCTCCCACATTATGTGATTTAGGGTAATGCCAATAAAAATGCCAATAATAACCAGGGCTCTTGCTATTTATAATTCTACTACCGGCGTATAACTAGATATCAAGAATTGTTGATTTCAACTTATGAATTCATTTTCAGAGAAAATATCCATATATACGTTTTACAAAGTGAAGACCATTTATCTATGCAAGAAACAACTCTTATCAAAATGGACAAGGTCTTAGCAGAAACAATTGTATGAAGTTTTTATTTGAAAAAAAAATTCGTTTCATTTTAAAATTAAGGTAAATTGCAATATGTTGTATTCGACGGGTAAAGATATAAATTGGCAAGATTTAAACTAATGGCATAATCTCATCTAACCTTATTTGTATTGACAACTCCACTGTGTTATCTCTTTCTTTGTATTATGTTTTATTAAAGAAAGTGTGATTTCTAATTAGACTTTGATCCTTTCCCCTTGAACCCTACCCCCTTTTGTTTTCGATGACTTTGAAGTCTTCTAATTAGCCAAACTTTTTAAGCACGCCAAAGAGAATCTTATAGCGTGGAGAATTTTCTTCAGAATTTTGCTCCGAAGACCTGTGGAGAATTTTCTTCAAAAATAGAAGTATTGAGTGGATAATTCTTTCGTTCTTGATATTTCTTTTTCCTTCGAACTGAATTTATGCGATCCTTAATCAAAACCCGTTGATTCTTAATTCACATAAATTTCAATTCAATTCAAGGTCTGCACCATTCTTAGGATGGCTTTCGTGTCATCTTAGAAAAAAGAAAACCCATTAACATCATAACTATTTTCCAAAAAATATGAAATAACTCACTTATCTAAGAAAAATTCTCCAAAAATATGAAATAACTCACTTACGTGGTATGGCCGACATGCACTTTAGTAATATTTGGCCAAAATTAATCAGAAGGATTGAATTGACACTATATCAAAAGGTTTAAGACTAAATTGGCACCAATGTAATAGGTTTAAGACTTTTCTGACACTTTTTTCGGCAAAATGCCACATTTTTATTTAAATTTTTCAATTGTACATGGCTGTTAATGAGAAAGTACCTTGTAAAATTTACATATAATACAACCTAATAGAGGTGATGAAAGGACTAAAGTGGATGACTGTGGCAAGTTTTAGGACTTAAAAATACGAAATGGAAATATGAGAATTTAAGTTCAATGAAGTGGTTATGAAGATTCTAAAGGAGCGAAATTCAAATGCCCAAGATTTTATTAATAAGTGCCTACCATAGGAAGGTTTCACAATGTTAAAGTAGTACAACTCGTCGGCTTTTCCTTCAATAAGTGAAAGCAAGCTCTTGTGTACGATTTCATTCCTAATGGGTCCCTATATAAGCAGATTTTCTTCAATGAAGACAATAGTCCTCTCAATAGCGAGAAAATGTATGAGATTTCCCTGGGAGTGGCAAGGGGTTATATTATCTACATCAAGGATATGACATGCATATTCTACACTTTGATATCAAGCCTCATAACATTCTTCTGGACAAGAATCTCACTCATAAAATTTCTTATTTTGGTCTCGAGAAGCTTTATCTAACGGATCATAGTATTGTGTCTATGATTGCCACGCAAGAAATCTTGGGATATACGGCACACCTTAGTGATTCTCCAAGATTGGTGGTGTCCCTCATAGAGGTTATGTTAACAGCTTTAGTATGCTACTAATGGAAATAGCAGGTTGAAGATAGAATCTGTATGTAAACGCAGAGCACTCAAGTCAAGTTTATTTTCTGTTATGGGTTTATGATCAATTGAATCATGAAAAGGGTGTTGAAATAGAAGCTGTTGAAGAATAAAGAATAAAGAGAAATCACAAGATGATAATAGTTGCACTTTGGTGTATTAAGTTAATTTGAGTGACCGTCCTTCGATGAAGAAAGTGTTGGAAATGCTTGAAGGGGAAATTGGTAAGCTACGAATACTTCCCAAGCCGCTTCTATAGGGAACATATGCCGGCTTACTACGATGGTGAAACCGACATCGAACTAGAAACTCTGTCAACTGTAAACTTCATCCAATGTTCAGCTAATTTCTTCTACACCCCAATGTCAAGATGACATTGGGACTAAGGAATCTTTCTTCATATTTAACAACGTGACATCGATGACACTATTGGCATTCTTATAAAATGGAACAGGTGACTCACCCATAAGGATTTTGACTGAACATCCAAGTTGATTGATTTCTACGATAGTGAAACTGATCCGAGGAAATTCTATAGCCACAAACGTCAAAAAAAAAAAATGGTCGAACACAAACGTCAAATTTGGAGAGAGCTTGAATTTTAGAGACGTTTCCTTCTGAGTTTTTTTTTTTTTGTCGGACCTTCCTAGTTAATATGAAAGCTATCCATCATTTATCCCAAAAATAAAGAAAACTATCCACCACCATCACTATTTTTTGGGTCCTTAGTATTGGGTCCTTCAGCAGCATTGCAGAAACTCTTTCTTCCAGACAAGGACAAATTGTCACCGAACATATTGTATGAATATCAATTCAGTCCTAAACTCTCCAATTTTGTCAATTTAGTCTTAAATTTTTGCGCGAAATTCCAATATAGTTCTTCCAGCCAAATTCCATTGGAAATTGCTGACATGGCAGTATGCCACATAGGACGGCTGGAGGTGACTGGATCGCCACATCAGCAATTCCAAGCAAAAATTGACCGGAAGAGCTATATGGGAATTTCACATGAAGATTTAAGACAAAATTGACAAAATTGAAAAGTTTATAACTGAAATACATCCGTACAATAGGTTTATGACTGGTCGGGTAATTTTCCCTCTCAAATACTCAACAAGATGCATAACACACTCAATCCCCAGCATACATCTCAATGCCATTTCCAACGGGTAGAGGTACGACAAAGGAAAGGCGAGAATTGCATTGACAGAAACCATCTCTTCACGGATACCAATACATAGCTTTAGATTCGAAAGGTCTTCAATTATATAAGCGGGTGGTGTTCTCATAATACTCGGAGCTTGGGGAAGGGGAAATGTGTCTTGTTCTGCTTGGATTGCGTCGGAGGGCTTGAAAAAGGTTTAGATTCGAAATGTTTCAAGAGTACATGTAACTGGAACGCGAGCCTGTGAGCGTCGCTAATGAGACCCAAATCCAATTGGATAGGCTTGAAAAAGGTTTGATGGATTGGAGAAGCTACATGCGAGAGACTAAGAGAACGTAAGGCGCCATCACTCATCACCACCGTGCCACGTTTGATTGGCCCTCACAACCACCCTACTAAGGTCAGCCAGCCCTCGCCTAGGGCAAGGGAAGTCGTTGCCTGCTCGCGGTGATGACTAGTAGCCTTGGCCTGTGGTAGAGTGAGAGTCCTAGGCGATGGCCTCATCGCCTGTTTGCGGTGATGATTAGGAGCCCTGGCCTGTGGTAGAGAGAGTCCTCACCAGGGCCACAGCGGTGCCCCTTCAATGCTTCCCCGACCATCTCTCTCTCGGGTTCCCTTTTGCTATTTTTTCCCCTCTTTAATTTTGGCTTTTTCTTTTTCTGTTTTTTCTTTTTTGCTTTTTTTGCCATTTTTGGTATTCCTTTTTCTCTTGATAATTTTTGGCTTTTTTATGTGGCGCCCATGCGTTCTTTAACATAACAAATGTCATGTGAGCATAATCCATTTGTCAAACTTGATGGAGCTTTCGACCAAAAAAAAAAACTTGATGGAGCTAACGGAAGTCATCTGTCACACCAATTTAATAATTTTTAGGATTTATTTACATTTTTTGAAAATTTAAAAATTATTGATTGTATTTAAGCAAATCAAGAACACCCGGTAATCATTCTTTTAACGGCAACAAAGCCATTCCTCTTGTTTATTCATAAATTCTATTTGGAGGTTCAACAAAACAAAAGATTAACAAAACATTACCATAACGTAGCAATAATGAGATTTTCTTGGTATATGATGTTGAATGCATACGTTACCAAGAGAAAAAGGAGAACTCAATTCTAGTGAGAATTTCATTGAAATGGGAAATGCATTTGTCATACAAGGAACAAATATCTACCTTGTCCGGTCCTGACTTTGCTCAGGCTTCTCGATACTATTAAAATAAACATTTGAATGTTAAGATGCATGTGTGAGTTATGTATGAAAAGTTCAACATTGAAGAATCGATGTGGTATGGAGGGGATAATATATCCTAGTTGATTCATCACTCATTATTTTAAACTTTTGAGTGAAAGTGGTCCAACTGAATATGTTGATGGGCTCTAACTTTTAGCTCCCTTTTGGTGATCTCCCCGCATGAACATATCTAATTTCTGTTGCGCGCTACTAACAAATGGTATCAGAGCCGATAATTGATTGTTTTCCCACTCCCAATATCTATCGGCGTTTGGTAAATGTATTAAGGAAGGAATCTCGTGACCAATGCAATTAGCCTTGATGGTTCGCTCTAAAGAAAGAGACTTAGGATGAACATGGACGTTATTGTTGTTGTTGTTGTTGTTGTGGTATTCACATAACAACGAAGTAGAGATTCAAGTTGAGACATGTTGATGTAGAAGAATACCTAAATTAATGAGAGCAGACCTGACACTGACCCCCCACGTAAGGGATAGATTATTAAGATACACACGTGAGTTGTGTTAGAAAAATCTTATATTAGAGAATTGGAGTGGTACGGAGTGGTTATATATTCTAATTGACCTAAACTCATTGGTTTATGTCACGCCCCGCACCCTACGAGCGCGCGATCATC